CAAAAGAATTTTTGCTAAGGTACGGGAAAGGCATGGGAGGGTGGCCTGCTCTTGCTCTTGCTCTTGCGCCTTGGCGAGTGTGGGACGCGGGGTGGTGGGAAGGGCTGGTGGGGGGGGGAGGGGGAGGGCGTGTGCCAAGTCGGGTATAGCAACCTCTCGTTCGTCTGCCGCAGTCCGTTTCGATCCGTTTGTGTCAGTCGGATCGTTAAGGGACGTTGACCATCTTTTTTTTACTGTTCTCGTGGTGGTGTCTTTGTCAACATGACCACGGTCGCATACTTGTTGGGGAGATGGCGTGTGGGGAAGGGGAAGAGGGATAGAGATGGGTTGCTCGCTGGGGGTAGAGAGGCTTGTATTTTGATGGATGGTAGTGTTGGGCCCAACAGCGTCAAGTCTCAACTACGCGAGCACCCCGACCTGCGCCCCACCGCCGACCTCATGCCAGGTCTTGCGGACAAAGACACGATAGGCTGGGATGATGAGGGCCGCACCGATGACAATGACGCCAAAGGCACCGAGGCCGCCAAAGACTGTTGCCGCAAACGACGCATCGCGCCCGGCGACGTCGAGCAGGTCAGCGAGCACCGCCGTTGTGTACGCCATCAGCAGTACGACGTGCGCTGTCATGTCCATCCGCGTCACCAGCGGCGAGACGTACGGCTCGAGATCGTACGCTGCAAGGATCGAGACAAGGAACAGGCCAATGAGCACCACATGTCGGTAGATTGAGGAGACCGACCCAAACGCCACCACCGCCGCAAACACCAGTCGCCGGCCGACAAACAGGACCGCAAAGTACCGTGACCGCGCCTTGAACGCATCGAACCAGAACGGAAAGGCGGTCGTCATCCACCGCGGCACACGCTCCACAATCTCGGAGTACACCACAATGCTCACCAGCGCCACTACCGGGATCACCACATACACCACCATCGGCACCGCCTTTTCCGCGGTCGTCAGCATCGCACACTCGATGTGCGGGTAGTTCTTGAGGTACGAGATCTTGGAGACAGGATCCTGCTCGCAGTTGAACACGTCGAGGATGTACGTGGCGAGAGGGAGGAAGAAAAGTTAGCCACAAGGCCCACTGCCCACACCACATGGCCCAGAAAGACCTTGCCCATCTGCGCCAGCTCTTCCGCCTCTACCGAGTCGGACCAAATCTTCCACTTGCCGGCCTCTTCCTGAGCCTCGCTCGCTGAGCCGCTATCACTGCTCGCCGCCGAGCTCAAACCCGATTCCATCACCCACGTGTACCCTTCCGAGTCCTCGTCAAACGCATCGCCCATGACAGCCTTGGCTGCGGCATCCGCCCGCGCGCTCTGCCACCGAAGCACAAACCGGATGCCAAAGACCGTAATGAGCATGCCCATCAAAATCGGCGGCAGGACCAGCATTGTCTTGTATCGCTGCTCGAAAGTCCGGAACTCGTCGATGCACTCCAGTCCAAGACCCTCGGTCGAAGGCTGCGAGAACCTGAACAGCGCCACAAACGGCACCACCGCGTCTGGCAGCGACAGATCCGCCACCACAATCGTCAGCGTCTGGAAAAACATGATGACCACCTGCACAATCTGCTGCATATACCGCAGAAAGGCCTTGCGCCGCAGCTTTCCCGGTACGTGCTCGCTGCCGCCCACAGTTGCTGGCGCCGGAGTCGCTTCTGGCGCAGACACAGCCGCAGAAGCCGAGTCGAAACCCGAGCCTGTGCTTGTCGCCGAGCCCGAGCTGGAGCCCGAGCTGGAGCCCGAGCTGTGGCTCACGCTCGTCTCCTGTTCCTCTTGCTCGCTGGAAGCCCACCGCTTGGCTCTCCAGCACCGCCACGACTCTGACAGGATGTGGTCCCAGCGGCGGACGTTGCGCGGAATGATGTCGCGGAACATGGCGACAGCGATGAGGACCACAAGAATGAGCAACACGGTGAGAACAAAGACCAGCGGCCAGACGCCCGCAGAGTCGACGCACAGGATGCACTCGCCATTGCGGGAAAAGTACCCGTCGAGGCACTCGGCACACAGCCTTCCGGTATGTCCGGCCCGGCAGTCGAATGCCTCGGTCTCAGACCCTCCGTCAGCTGTCGACGCTGTGACCACGCACGGGTTCGCCGGATCGTCGATCTTCATCGATCCGTACTGGCAGGCCACAAACTCGCCCGGAACCGTCGTCGTCATCGTCACCGACGCGTTGAAGAGCGAGGAGACCGAGACTGCTGCGCGCGCAGCTGGCCCCACGGAACTGTCCCCGGTTCCCGGGACAGTCAGCGCAAAAGGATTGATGACCGACCGCATCACGGTCGACGGAAAGTAGCCCGACTGCGGTACCATGCGCGGGACCGCCACCTCTGGGTGCCCCGAGCACTCGGCGTTGGCGAGGCAGAGTGCGCAGGAAGATGTGCCACCAAGCGATGTGTTGTAGTAGTTCTCGCGGCATCGGCACATCAGATAGCGATGGTAGCCCGGGTCGACCTTCACTTCCATCCCGCGAGAGCTCATAAACGACGGACATGCACCACCTGCCAGCACAGTGGTGTCGGCCGCGTTGTAGTCCGGGGTGAGGAAGGCTGGGAGGAACGGGCCCGGTCCGAGTTTGGCACGTAGCGCCTCGTTGCCGCGCAAATCGACCGATCGCAGGGCGGGCATCTCGCCGAGCAACTGCGGAACGACGCCGGTCAGCAGATTGTTGGCCAGGTCAAGCGACTGGAGATGGACAAACGCCTCGCGATCTCGGTCGTGATCTGCAGCGGACCGCCGATCTTGTTACCGCTGAGGTCGAGCGTCCGAATGTTGGGCATCGACCGGTAGATTCGCGCCAAGGAAAACCCGGGGCCCATGAGCGCAGCATTGTCGCTCATGTCCAGTGAGGTCAGGCCGAGCGGAAGCAGGTCGATGGCACGCCCGAGCTCGGTCAAGTTGTTCGACGACATGTCAAAAGCATTCAAGTTCGGCACCTGACTCTTGAACTGCGCACTGATGGATGTCAGCTCGTTGCCAGCCACTCGGACGATTTGGATGTTGTCCATGGCCCCTCCGAACGAGAGCGCCCCTCTCAGCTTGTTGCGGGACAAGTCGACATCACGCAATGTCATGTTGAACGGCCAGAGCGTCGGCATGATGGGGAACAGGTTGTCATTAAGGTACACGTCCTGCAAAAAGATCATCTCCTGGTTCGTACCAAGAGGGACAGAGGCAAAGCCGGTCAGCTGATTGTTGGAGAGGTCGAGCCGCAGGAGCGGCGACGACTCGGCGTAAAGCAAGTCGGACGGCACTGTGCCGGTCAAGTTGTTGGACGCCAGGTTGACGTTGGCCAGTGACCATGACCCGGACGGAATAGTGCCACTCAGCTGGGTGTTGCCCATGGACAGCCGCTCCAGCTGCGGCAGCGTGTTGATGATAGGCACCGTTCCGCCCAGCGGGTTCGAGTCGAGGATGAGCTGGGCCAGGGCGCCGCTGGTGGGCAACATGGCCCCGGAGACTTGACCGGAGAGCACGTTGAACGAGAGGTTGAGGATGACGAGGGCAGTGAGCGGACGGAGCTGCCCCGAGTCGATCGGGCCCTCGAGGTAGTTGTTCTGCAGCTCGAGGCCAACCAGCGCCTCGTTCCACGTCGACGGGAAGAACGGCAGTGAGCCGCCGATACGGCAGTCGGCGAGGTCAATGTACGACGGGGCACGGAGCGCGAGAACGCCCGCTGGCATGGCCGGCGACGTCACATCCAGGGCCGCAAGCATGAGCATGTCGACGTAGCCGTCGGGCGTGCACACCACGCCGTACCAGTTGTCCAAGCACGGGTCGCTCAGCAGGTTGTATGGGCGCCACGGCTTGCCGTTGCGGTTCTCGCCCGGAAAGGCCCAGCTTGCGCCTCCCGACGTGTTGTAGAACGAGACAAGGGCGTCACGCTCCGACGCCACCATCGGCGACTGCGTCACTTCGACCGAGAGCCGCCCGTTGGCACCCGCATCGCGGTACGGCTGGATAGCGGACTTGAACTCGTCCTCGTTGCGGAGAATGTAGGCCACAAAGTCGCTGGGGAGATCGTTAAGAAACGAGGGCGAGCCGGCGATGGACTTGCGATAGCCATTGACCGAGTACTCGGTGTCGAGGCCAAGGGCAAAGGGAGCCACAAGAAGGCCTTTAGCGCCCCACTGAGAGACTTTCTGCGCGAGAAGAGCCACATCACAGGTAGCCAGCTTCCGATTGAGCTCGTCGTTGTCAAAAACAGGTTCAAAGATGATTAGAACAGCCATTTTCCCCACAAAGTGTGCCGGCGGATCAGGACTATTCCCACACGGATCATTCTCCATAAAGAACAGTGGAAGTTGAAGAGAACGAGCTCCACCAGTTGGACTTCCACCCAAACTGCCAGAAAAGAGAAACTCGGTCATTTGCGTCGCATCGTTCCGCGAATCGAGCTCGATGCTCGGTTCAGAAGAGTCGCTCGTGGAGAGTATCAGTTTTTGTCCCCGTGCCAGCGGGTCAGCTCCTGCACTCTTTTCAGCCACACACACAGCCATGACCACAAAGATCACGACCAGTTTCCTTGCAAACATGGTGGGCTTGACTCTGCCCGCCATTGCTTGTGGGGAGGGGGTCGGGGTCAGGAAGTGAGGTATGCAACTGGCCTGGGCATTGGGGGGGGGGGGGGGGGGGAGGAGGGGGGATCGTGAGCGGCTGGCCGCGCAGCCTTGGGCCGCGTGGGTTAGTGTGAAATTGTGTGGCGGTGAGTTTTTGGGGGGTTTGACAGGAGCCCTGCCGCGACTGGTGCCAAGGCTCGCAGGAAGGTGAGCAAAGCGAAGCGGCCGGTACCTTGCTTGCTAAGAGCTCCCATGGCGTCGACTCAGTCGGCTTCGACGGAGCGGGAACCCGTCCACCCAACCGCTTTGATGACGATGCGCGACGACGATGGCCATGATCTCGGATGATAGCGAGCTCACGACGATCGCTTGTGTACACACGGTTTACCGGGCTAGTCGGCACAATGCGCTGGCACTGGAGGCCAGCGCGGGACAATGCGCGGAAATCTCTCAAGCCGTCGAGCCAGCGACGCGACCGCTCGGCCGGCGCCGCGAGCGGAGGTAGGCAAGGAATCGAACTTTTGCCGCTTCCTGCTCCGACCGTCGCCGAGGTGCAAGAGGCATCACTATCGTCGTCGTCGTCGGCGTCGTCACCGTCGTCATCGTCATCGCCTTGAGGAACGCTAAACAAAGGCCTGCATTCCGCAAACGCCCTCCACAGATGGCAGCACGACATGCCTCTACCGCGGCATGAGCGAGACAAAGTGAGCATCGACAGCGGCGCGCGACGCGGTATCAAGCCTCCGGGCGACGGCGCGGAGGAGCTCCTCGCCGTCTCCGCCGACGAGCTGGAGGAGACCGACCGACTGCTTGGCGACGGCATGGACGAGGGCGCGGTCGCGGGACCGCAACGCGGTCTCGAGGTGCGGGACGACAGCGGGCGCGTGCTCGGGGAGGCATGAGAGGTGACGAAAGAGAATCTCAAAGGCGAGCGGGCGGGCGTCCGGCTTTGGGCCGACGGCGACAGCGACGACGGCGTCAAGCTCGGCGGCAGCGGCTGCCGGGTCGCCGTCCTGCTGGCGGCGGAGTGTCGGCAAGTCGCGAGAGCTGGCGTAGCGGAGGCGCGGCAGCGGGCGGCCGTGGGCCATGGCGAGAAGGCGCTCAATCCAGGGTGCGCCGCCGCCGTCGGGCCAGCCGCCGGTGAGCTGGGCGAGGGCGGCGAGGAACTTGTCGTCGCCAGCGACGGTGAGGCCGGCGTCCTCGGCGAGGCGGACGTGGACAAAGGCGGCGAGGCCCATGAGCCTGCGAAGATGGAGCCACTCGTCGTGTCCTGCGCCGGCTTGGGCACCTGCGCCGGCGAGAAAGGCGGAGCCGAGGAGGTCGAGAACGGCAGCGACGAGGTCGCGTGTGAGGACGCGGCGGAGGGCATGGAGGAGGGCGATGAGGGCAAAGGCCATGGTGAGGGCAGCTGGGCGGGTGAGCCCGCCGCTGACCATGGCGTCGAGCATGCCGAGGAGCGACGGGGTGTGGCGGACAAGGACCGCGCCATGCGCGCGCGCGTAGTAGGCGAGGGCGCCAAAGGCCGCCCGCCCGCCGGCGGTCATGTCCAGCTGGACGAGGAGGTGGTGGATGACGACGTCGGCGTTGGACGCTGCCAGATCAAGCCCGGGCGCGGACCATTGTGGTGGCGACAGGAGCGGCGAGGCGGCGGCAGCGGTCTCGCCCAGCTCGTCGGGGAACTTGAGGCAGAGGCGGGTGACCCAGGGCGCGTCGCCGGCGCCGGCGTTGCGTGCGCCCGTGACGACGGCACGGAGGCCGCGGCCGGTCCGGGCGAGGCGGACAACGAGGCGGAGCCAGCGATCTGAGGAGACGATGCCGCCGAGGGCGGCCAGGGCCGAGTCGGAGAGGACTGGACTCACGACAAGGCTGCTCGGACGGTCCGGGGCGAGCTCCCACTTGACCCGGCGGCGCTCCGAGTTGGCGTCGAGGTAGGAAAGCCATGCGCCCGGACGGGTGGCCACAGCGTGGAGCGCCATCAGCAGTCGCTCCTGGACAAGCGATGGCGCTGCCGGGGTGATAGCGTCAAGCGCGGCGGAGATCCGGGGCCAGGCCGAGGCAGTGGCGCAACCGGCGAGCAAGAGCCGGGCGGCGCCAGGAGCGAGGTCGGTGTACGGCCCGGCGCCAAGCGCGGCGTCCATGGCTGGCACCGCCCATGCGTCGAGGAGCCAAGCCACAAAGCCGGCGGCCGCTGGGTGGCGGCATACGGCCGGAGCGGGAAGGACCTTGGTGCAGAGGGCGGTGGCGAGCTCGGCGCGCCACGCCCGCAGCGCGTCGCCGCAAAGACTAGCCTCGGCGGCGGCGACATCGGCCTCGAGACTCAGACAGCGCGAGTCGACGGCGCGGGCGACAATGGCGTCGACCGAAACCGTCGCCGAGGCGAGGCGAGGTGCGGGGGAGGCGAGGCGGCGGACGACAAGCGGCGCGGTTGGCGGGGCGCTGGAGTCGGCTCTCGCCCCGTCGTCTGCAATGTCCATGCCGACAGCAGCGACTGCAGCACCAGCACTAGCGCTCGCGGGAGCAGGGCGGGCCAGGGTGGCAGCAAGGAGACGTGCGGCGGCCGTCGGCGCAGTCGGCGCGGCCGAGAGTGTCTTGAGGCGAAAGGCGAGCATCTTGCGGGAGAGTGCGCCGAGCGAGGCGGCGGCAGCGGCGAGGTCGGCGTCCGAGGCGGCGGTGACGACCGGGAGGGCGAGGAGGGCGGAGCGCTGGGCCCGGGGGCCTGGGCGGGCGAGGAGAGCGACGACATCCGCAAGCGAGCAGGCGGCGCGGGCGGCAGCTGCGAGCGGGAGGTCGGGCGGGCCGAGGAGCGCGAGCGGGAGGCAGACGGGCCAAGCACGCGGGACGCGGCCACCGTTGGCAGCGGCGAGGACGGCGACGAGCGAGACCAGGAGCTGGGCGTCGTCAGCGTGGAGTATGAGTACAACGAGGGCCTGGACAGCCGGGAGGAGAGCGGCGAGGGCAGCCGGGTCTGCGTCGGCGCTGGCGGCGGCGACCATGCGGGTGACGGCAACGAGGAGGGCCGGGCGCGGACTGAGAACGTCATCGAGGGCCGAAGACGGGACGGGGCTGCGGCCCGCGGCGATGTCGGCGACAGCCGTGACAACGACGTCGACAACGGGGGGATTGTCGGGTGCGAGGGCGACGAGGGCGTCGAGGTAGGCGGCGAGGACGGTGACGCGGTCCTCGACGCGGAGGGCGGCGGCGAGGGTCGAGGTAAGGAGCGAGGCGAGGCCCGGGGCCATAGCCGGGATGGCGGTGAGCCAGGCATCGGAGACGACTGCGGTGAGGGCGGCCGAGGCTGCGGCGCGGCGCGGCGCGGCAGGAGAGGAGAGGCCCGGGAGGAGGACAGAGAGGACGGGCTTGGCGGCGGCCGGCAGGCCTGCGGCGACGCGGGTGGCGAGGGCGTCTGCAAACGAAGCGCGCTCGAGGAGGGCAGTAACGAGGAGCTGACAGAGGGTGGGCAGCGGGACCGAGTCCATGATGGCCGAGGCTGTGGCCGAGTCGCCAGCGAGGAGCGGCGAGAGCCATTTGAGGGTCTCGGACGGGTCCTGGCGCGCGATGAGCGAGCGGAGAAAGTCCGGAGCGCGCGAGGCGGTGAGCGGGGCAGAGAGGTTGAGCTCGGTCTGGAGGGCGGCGAGGCGCTCGTCGACGGCAGAGGGGAGGGCGGTGTAGGTGGCGGCGTCGACGGGTGCGCGCGGAGCAAGCAGTGCTCCGTCGCGGACAAGCGACATGTGGAGGAGGGCGTCGAGCGGCGGGGCGCCGGGCGCTGCTGACGCGAGCGCAGCCTTTGCGTCGGCTTCGATGCGGGCAAGAGTGGCGTCTGCGGATGGCGCCGGCGGGCGCGGCGGCGGCAGCGAGTGGGGGAGCGGAATGCCGGTGATGAGGCGCTCCATGCAGAGGCGGACGGGCGGGACGTTCTCCCAGCAGGCGGCGCCCACGGTTGCCGGGGCGAGGCACGAGGCAAGGGTCATGCCGACAAAGGCCTGCCAGAGGAGGTCTGCGCGGGCGAGCGGCGGGGCACGGGCCATGTGGCTGGCGAGCGGGCGCGGCCAGACAAGGGTGGCCGGGTTGAGGAGGGCTGCGATGACCTCGTCGGCGCCGAGCGGCGGGCGTGGCGGCGGGAGTGAAGCGGCGCGGCGGAGGATCTTGAGGGCAAAGGCGAGGCGGGTGGGCGGGGCGAGGCCGCGGCAGCGGCAGATGCTCACCAGGCACTCTTGCTCGAGCGGGACGGTACGGAGGGCGTACTTGACAAGGCGGGCCGTGGCGGCCGGCGAGAGCTCCGGGACCGAGTAGGCCTTGGCCGGTGCGAGGAGGAGGATGCGGGTGAGGTACGAGGTGAGGTCGCGCTCGGAGAGCTGCGGGAAGACTGAGGGGATGTTGAGCGTGAGCCACTTTGCGGCGATGGCGTGGATGCGCGGGACAGCACGCGGGAAGGCGTCAGCAGGCGGCCAGGCGGCCGGCTTGGTGGCCGGGTCGTGGACGGCGTGCGGGACCGAGGCTAGGATGGCGGCGACGAGGAGGTCAACGAGGGTCTTGACCCACGCGGCAATGTCAAAGCCCGAGTCCGGCTTGGGCCAGGCGGCCGGGCGGGCGGTGGCACCGGCCACAAAGCCGACCATGTCAAAGGGCGGGCGGGGAGGGCGCGGGGCCGATGACGGCGGGTGCGGGCCGACAACGACGCCCGCAGCCCAAAAGGCGCGGAGAAAGGCCGGGACGCCGCGGCGGAACTTGGGCTGCATGAGCAGGGCGGCGGCGACGGTGCCAAGCTCATATTCGGCGTTGGGCGTGGTGACGGTCTCAAAGACGGCGGCCATGGAGGCGAGGCGCGACGAGGGCTTGCCGGCGGCGGCGGCGGCCTCGAGGAGGGCACCGAGGACGTGGATGCGGATGCGCGGCTCGTGGGCGGCAATGAGCCGGGCGAGGAGCTCGTCCGACTTGCCCGGGCGGAGGCGGACAAGGGCGGCGACGACGGCACGGTCGGCAGGCGCCGCGCCGGTGGTGTGGTCGACGAGCGAGGCAAGGAGCTCCTCCGCGGCGCGCGAGGTCCAAGTCGAGGCGAGCCACGACGAGAGGTGCTTGACGGCGAGGTCGCGGGCGGCGGCGTAGCCGACAAGCGACGGGAGGATGTCAAGCATGTGGCCGTCGGGCGGAAGGGCGTGGAGGATGGGCAGAACGGTGGCGCGGAGCGCAGTGAGCGCGGCGCGGTCCGGAAAGGCGCCCCGCGAAAAGGCGGCTAGCCGGGCAGCGGCGTTGGGCGAGTCGGGCGGGACCGACTCGTGGTCACGAAAGGCGCCCTTGAGCTGGGCGATCAGCGGGGCGGTGCCCGGAAGGTCGACCCAGACGCGCGGGCCAGCAGCATCGAGCATGTACAAGTGGCCGACAAGCTGCGGGAGAGGCGAGGAGGTGAGGGCAGCGGCGGTGCGGAGCGACATGAGGACAAGAGCAGTGACAGCGCCGGCGGCGCGAGCATGGGTCCCAGCCTCTGCGGCAGCAGCCAGCCGCGGGAGGAACTCTGTGGCGCGAGAGACGAAAAAGTCCGAGACAAGGGCACGCGGCGCATTGCGAGCAACGCCGGCGAGTGTGTACGAGAGCAGCGGCGGCGGCTGTGGCCATGTGCCCTTGATGACGTCGACCAGAGCATCGATGAGGGCGCCCATGTCTGTCCTCGCAGCTCTCCTCGCAGCCGCATCTTGACCATCACCCACGAGCGCTCTCAGAGAAGCAACCCAATCCCTACTTGCCAACGACTTGATGAAGCGCTTGTAGGTAGCTGACGATGGCGTAGCCAGCGGATGTGCCGTTGCCAAAGGACGTGAACGCGAAGATGATTTTTTCTTTGAAAGCCCATTGCCCGACGAGCCACCATGACCACCACCACCACCACCACCACCATGATGATGATGATGATGATTATGATGTGATGGTCGGTGGTGGAGGGAGGAGGAAGAAGAGGTGGCCAACGATGATGATGATGATGATGATGATGGTGTTGCTGTTCTGCCAGACGAGTTTGATCGTGACGAGGTGGAGACTGCCACTACGTCCATGTCCTCAAGCGGCTGGGTGGTGTGACCTGTTGGTGGGGAGGGGGGGGGGGGGGGGGGAGAATGGAAAGGAAAAGAAAGGCACGGGGAAAGGGGCGGGAGGGGGGATAAGGGGGGGGAACCCACCTGGTATGTGTTGTGTGGGGAGGGGGCGGACAGGGTTTTTTTTGGGATGTGCTGGGATTGGGAAGCGTTGCATGGTCCAAGGCCTTTGAGGTGGAAAAAGAGGGTTTATAGAGGGGATTAAATGGGGTCTTTTGTTGTAAAACCTCTGGGATGGGGG